CCAAAATGAGTACCTTTGATGATATCTTCATCTGAGATATCAAACTTATCTCTTATAGAGCCTCCAAAATTTCTGTTCATATTATCCGCAGCTGGAGTAGCAACTAAAGTCGCAGCGTAGAAGGTCACGGGAGGTAATAGATCAGCCATGATCATCTCAGTATCTTGGACAGAAACCTCCTCCTCCAGGGGCTTAAAACAAACTTTTTTAGTGGCATCGAGTTGCTCCGGTGGGTCGCGAGGGGAGAGTATTCCTAACAGCATTTTTTAGTGCAAGTTAGATTTTTTTTAGCTCTTGTATTCATTTGTTTTGTTTCTTATCAGCTTAAGTGGTTTGGTTGTGATTTTGTTATTGGATGGTGATTCTTTGCATGTGTTATCTGTGAGGTAGTATCATTTGATTTTGAGCATTCTTTTTCCTCCATTTAGATACAGAGGGTTTTTTTAATGAGGTTTAATCGATTGATGGTTTTGTACGTGTTCTTTATTAATATTATACAAAGCTTACCCTTTTAAAAAAATCCAAACTGAAGAATATGTATGAACCTTAATCTTTAATTTAGAGAACCCAGCCCACATCATCCGACCCCATCAAAATCTAAGTTTGGATTATTCAATACTTAGGGTACGTTTGGTTCACGAAATGTAAGATTACTAGTGGGAATGTAAGATTACCAGGGAATAGGATTACTGGGAATGTTGTATTTTGTGTTTAGTTGGTTTAGCAAGGATGTAAGATTACCGTGTTTGGTTAAAGGAATAAAAGATTATTGGAATGTATATTTGACCAAATTATCTTTATTATATATTTGTTTTTTAACAAGTTGGAAAATATTTATATATTTTCTTTAAAAAAAAATTAAATTCATAAAATTTATATATTTTTCACAAAATTAAAAATATAAAAAGGTTTAATCTAAGGGTAAAATTTTATTTTAACCCCTAAACTTCATATAAAATTTTAATTATAGATTTTTTTTGTAAATCTAAAATAGTTTAAGGATAAATTTATAATTTAATCTTCGTAGAATTTTTATTATTCAATGACAGAATAAGGATATTTTTGAAAAAAAAATTAAGGGCATTTAGTCCAAAACGTCAGTAATCCAACAATACTTAAGAAAAGGGAGGTAATGACATTCCCGATAATATACCCCAAGAAATCTACTATTGGTAATATAAGATTACCAGGAATGACATTCCCGACCAACCAAACGGGAGAATGTGGATTTCATTCCTATGGAAATCTCACATTCCCCCAACCAAACACACCCTTAAGGTATTTGGGAATATTTGAATTTTCTCTCTCAAGATCTTAAAGCACTCATCAGTGGCATCTTTGGTGATTAAAGAAGATGAGAAAAGGCTTCTTTTTTACTTTCAACTCGTATGAAAGGTTTAGGAAATTGCTTTTGGTATTTATAACAATAATATTCCAAATTTATAAAAAAAAACTAATAAACCTATTATTCATGAATTCCATTTTTTATTATATAATTGTGTGAAACCTAACACAAAACTTTCATCACCTTCCACTAAACATATTAATATAGCAATTAGTCATACAAATCTCTCACTTTCGTAAACTTAATAATTTGGTCCTTGAACTTTCAATTCCACTTATCAAATTTCAATTGAATCTTAAATTGATGGAAGCTGCTCTCAACCTGGCGATAGGGGCAGCCTACTACCCTACCTCCCCCTTATCCCATCACATATGGGAATAGGATTTTGTTATTGTTGTTGTTGAATTGAATCCTAAATTGATCCTTTAATGACATTAATTGAATTAGACACACTAACAAATAATTAAAATACATATTTTTACCCTTAGAATAATTTTTTATTCTTCAAAATTAGAGAAGATTAATAATCATGAGTATTGATAATCATGCCAAGATATTGATCCTTAAAAGAGAATATCAACTCTTCTTTTTATTTTTGAATTTTTTAAACATTTCTAAGCTCAAAAAGATATCAATACATTGGGTTCGTATCAATATCAAACTTAAGGTATCAATACCTTTCACTTGAGAATTGATACCTAAGTGTCAAAATGCCAAAAAATTATTATTCAACTCTATAAGCGTTTTTTATAACAATATTAAAATTTTAAAAATCAAAAGAAATTTTTCCTAGCAATTTTCACAAATAATGAAGAACATGCCTTAAGTATATTTTACACCAAAACTCGTGGGACAAGTGTCTTTTACCCTAATATAAACCTTTCTCCAACCCTGGAAACAAAGTGCAGCTTTTATCCTTTCATGGCAAAGAGTTCTGAGTACTCATAGGGAAGCCATTAATGTTTCGAACTGTTATCATCCAGTTGCAAAAGTTTCTTTTTTGTTCAACAAATATTAAACTTCTTTTCAGTGTTTACATGTCCTTTCATTTGCATATATTTCAATAATTATAAATTCACGTACCCAACTGATAGAAGGGGCTTTTAATAAAGTGCTGCATATTATTTGGAAGATAATGCTATCATTTAGAAATTATTGGTAGTGTTAGTGTTTCAGATTTCTAGGAGTGGATGATTTTACCATTTCTGGCTGGAAAAGGTCGAATTTCCAAAATTTTCAGTTAATTTCCAGTAATCAGTCACATCAAATGGCATCATCCAAAATTTACTTATTATTTTGTATTAATATTATTATTATATATCCATTTCCATTGACTGCTAAATGCACTGCAAAGTACTGTCATAATGCCTTGGGACAACCAAAGCTTGCTTAAGAATTCACGAAATAGGCAAAAAGAAAAACTGATAAAAGAAGGCAATGTGGGTTTCTCTTTCTTTCTTTTTTTTTTCCCGAATTTATTGCAGTGAAAATGACTGCAATATTGTCTCCCCCCTTTGTTTGGTCCCCCTTTCTGGTGCGGGAAGCTTCTTTACGCTTTCCTATGTACGGAGAGTTCCCTGTCTGGAAAGGGAAAAAGAAAGTAAAAGAAAAGGAACACTAGTTGACGCAAGTATGGGAGATCATAAATGTAGTAGTGTCTCTATGTACATGAAACTGAAAGATTTAACTCCTACAACGAAGTTAAAAGCTTCCATGGAAGGCAGCATCAATCCATCTCTTTCTTTTACTTCTCTTCATTATTTCATTTATACACCCACTGCATTTATTCTCAACATTCAATTGAAGATACATATATACATGCATGTATTCAGACATGCATAAACACACGTATACACATATACATATACATATACATATACATATACATATACATATACATATACATATACATATACATATACATATACATATACATATACATATACATATACATATACATATACATATACATATACATATACATATACATATACATATACATATACATATACATATACATATACATATACATACATATACATATACATATACATATACATATACATATACATATACATATACATATACATATACATATACATATACATATACATATACATATACATATACATATACATATACATATACATATATACATATACATATACATATACATATACATATACATATACATATACATATACATATACATATACATATACATATACATACATATACATATACATATACATATACATATACATATACATATACATATACATATACATATACATATACATATACATATACATATACATATACATACATATACATATACATATACATATACATATACATATACATATACATATACATATACATATACATATACATATACATATACATATACATATACATATACATACATATACATATACATATACATATACATATACATATACATATACATATACATATACATATACATATACATATACATATACATATACATATACATATACATATACATATACATATACATATACATATACATATACATATACATATACATATACATATACATATACATATACATATACATATACATATACATATACATATACATATACATATACATATACATATACATATACATATACATATACATATACATATACATATACATATACATATACATATACATATTTTAGGTCTAATCTTGATTTTCAATCTATCTATTAAATTGAAATATGAGATTTAATCTATCTACTTTGATACTTATGGTATTATAACATATGGATTCATATTGGAACTTAATAGCCACGTGGGAGAGGAGGCTAATATTTTTTTCTTGAATAATCTATAATGAATATATAAAGTAATATTGGTTCAGAATTTAGTAGATGAAGCTGTTCAAATCCAAATCTTTTAAGAAGAATAATATTTTTGTTTACGATTGAGACTACTCAATGAATTTATCCGCCAAAATATTTAAATGCCCCTTTTATGTCCTTTAAATTTCAGGTTAATCCACGGTTGATATTAAATTCTTACATTTATATAGTTAACGAATAAATAAATAATTTTTAAGGTGGTCCAAAAGTTTGTTAGTTTCTTTTCACCCTTAAATGTGAAAAAGAAGCATTTATTGAAAACGATCAAAGGATCCTTAATCGGTAGCTACAAAGTATAAACAGTTATAGGCAAACCATAATCATACGCACATATATCATCTATGGCATTTCTAAAAGATAAATACTCTGAATCTAACAGTTCAGTTATTATATAATTTTTTTACCCATTAATGATTCATTTGCCACCATTAATTTTGCAGCATTACCAACTTCATATAACCTCCAAAAACCTTTAAAAAAATTTTTGCACCAGCTATATAGTAATTTAAACAACAAATGATAATTGAAACTAATGAAGAACAAAAAAGAATCATCAAATTTCATTGCATGGCAGAAATATGTACTTAAGAAGTTAAGATATGAAGAATTCAATGATTTAGAACAAAATTTCAGCCTCTCGTTTATCTCTTTTCAAGATACTTAAACCCTTTATTGTTATTAATCTTAAGTTGTGCACTTATTAAGAGAACCGCATTAAACACAATTTCCTATACATAAAATTCTCATAATCAGTTGCTTAAACATTGTACAAACCCATCCTAAAAGAGTGTAAAATTTGTCAAATAGTTTCTTACCTCTTGAAAGTATACCCATTTGCATACATCAGATGTGGGATTAGAATAATTTAGAAATCTGTTCTTTTTGGGGGGAGCTTTCATTACCTTTATTGAGCTTCAAACCATAGCTTTCCCAATAGTTCTCTCCATCGTTCATTAAGAAGCGAAAGCAACTGTCATTTACACCATTGCCAACTGTGTTGAAGTTAGAAGGGGAAGAGCCATCATTTTCTTGGAGTCTCAGTGTTTCACTGTAGAGTGACTCATTGTTCTGATAATAGCCACAGTGATCTCTTGTGTTCTCCTTTCGCTTTTTATTACTCTCCTTTGTTTTCATCAAGTAAGCGCCAATGCTATCCCATTTCTCTTTGCACATTAAAGCACTCTTTTCAAAGCCTAAACAAGCCATCTTAGCAGCTATTTCTTCCCATAGAATCTCCTCAGAGCACCCTTCCATGGTGGTTCTCAGCTGTATTAGCTTAGAAATCTCAGTTTCTTGCCACCCATCTGCAATAACGGTGTCCTTTAACGTTTCACTTTGGTTTTCCATTTCATTAGCCATTATCACTACAGATGATGAAACACCCTTCAATTGTTTCCCAGTCAAATTCTGCAAAGCCTCCATTAAAGCAGAATCTCTAGCTTCAATCCAAGCTCGCTCTTTAGCCCAAAACTTATGCTCTCTATCAGTCCTTGCAGCCTCTTCTTTCCTCCATTGTTCCTCCCTTAAAACCCTCTCTTTCTCCTTTTCTTCTAGAGTCTTTGTCAGCTTCTCAAGCCATGCCTCTTGCCTCTCTATTAGTTTCCTCATTTGTGAATCAATAAACTCTTTTATCTTTGCCTTCCAACACCTACTACCACCCCTTTTCTTCCTCAATGAAGTGACATTCTCCATTGCAGCTGCAGTGCTTAAACCATTGTCATCGGAGGAAGTAGGGTCGAATTCAAAGGAATTTGAGAAGCTTAGACTATCACAAAGCTTTTGAGAGTGATAGACATCTTGATTTGCTTGAGTAATATTGCAGTTTTGAGTGGCATGGAACCGAAAATTGTTGCCAACGAGTTGAGTTTCTTGGCCTGAAACTGAGTTGCTGGTTTCTCCATATAAAGCGTCAAGCTGTCTAAAGAATCTATAATGCTTACCATCTTGTCTTCCAGCTTTCCCTTCCTTAGTTTTCTTGTAATACTTATACAAGTTCTCAAATTTCTCCCTACATTTTTTCCCACTCCTTTGGTACCCATGATCCTCGCACATGATCCTACAGTAACAAGAAAATGAATGACAATTGGGATAATAAGTTGAAATTATAAATGGGAACACTAATTCAAATTTGGTAACTGAAACATAAAAGATGACTATCAAAAGGTCATGTGATGATTTTTACCAACGTTATGAATAAAAAAAAACTGGGTTTCCCTTGCTGAACATTTTGCAGTTAACCCAATAAAGCATGTTATTGACCATTCAAATATGCAACCAAAGATGGATAAAACTAGTAGATGTGTACTTAAACATCCAAAAGGTTAGTCATTTTTATAGGCAAATTAAAAAAGAACAGTTGAAAAAGCTTTGCACGATAATGAAGGCAACACACTTTCAAAGGAAAAAGCAAGTCAGTTGGAGACTGTTGATTATTGAAATGATCAACCATCCTTCGTTTTCTCAATTAAATATAAAAAATAAGAAACAACACCTGGTTCACTGGTCCAGAACTGAACTTGTTTCAGCATAGTCGTTTTACTAAAACCCTGAATTTGTTTCAAAAGTTTGCTCTAACAGCAAGAAACTCTATGACTAGTCATGTTTTCTTTACATAAGTTAAGATTTGAGATACATATCTTTCTGTGGGAATCATGTAAGAAGAATGAAAGAAAGAAGAAAGGGAAATCTTTTTATTTTTCTTTGTTGGGTAAAATTTGTGATAAAATGAATAAAAAGGCCCCATTTTCATATCAGTAGAGCTAGTAACAGTGAAACCAAAAGAACCCAATGTAATTGATAACTTGAAGAAGAAGAAGAAAAGAAACCCTTTGCAAATGAAAGAAAGGGAAAGGGAAAGAGAAGAGAGAGAGTTAGGGTATGTTTATTAGTTAGTGAATACCTGGAAACTTCCTCCCACAAAGGACCCTTTTGATTAGCTTCTTTGAACTTGGGATCAAGCCGAGATCTAATCTCAAGAAGTGTTAAAGTCTCTTGACGAGGCCATCTTCCAGTTTCTCCATCACCTCCAAAGGGAATAGCATCACCATCGAACCCACAACTGGCACTAGGAGTCGAACCACTGTTGACAGCCGCAGAAGCCGTGGTGGTAACATTATTAGCAGTAGCATCTGAATGGAACTCGTGATGAAGTCCACGAGGCATCAATTCATGACTAACTTGCCTACCCTCGGCCATTTGCATCATATAAAACTGGTGGTGGTGATGATGATGGGGAGGTTGAGGGGACGGCACATTCCGGTTGCCGTAGGAGAATAACTCAGGACCCTGAGGAACTGTTTGGAAATGGCTTGGTCTTCCGTTGAGCAGTTGCCTAAGATCAGGCATGCCATATGGATGATGATTCTCCGTTTCCATATCGAAGAGAAGCGAAGCGAAGCTACAAAGAGAGAGAGAGAGAGATAAAAGGTATCGAGAGAGAGTGGCAGAGTCGGATCGTGTCTTCCACGAAAAAGCTAGAATTTCAAGCAAAGGACAATGGCCCCATATACGTGTATAAATGTACGTATTGCGTAAGTGAGACTGTGGGAGCGTAGGGAGAATGGGTTTTCACTGGTTTGGACAAAGTAAAAGGAAAGTGGAGAGTTCAACACCCGTATGGCAGCATCAGCAGCAGGAATAGAGAAAGGGAAAGAAGAGAGAGTAATGAGTGACAGAGGGACACATGGTTAAAGCTAAGGAAGACGACGAAAATATATGCAGGAGAGATATGTGAGTCGTTTGCTGATGCATACACAGTATCTAAGCATCCTTCCTTTTTGACCGCCCAATATCCCTCTCTCTCCGCTCGTTCTAGCCTTGTAGGGATTCATTATCATTAGCTTCCTAATTCTACTAATTTAGAATTAATTGAGTGGCTGTTGTGATTTCTAAGTGTCATATTTCATTATTTATGTTTACCGGATGTGTATATTATAAATGATTAAAAAATTAAATAGATATTAATTATTCAAAAAGAATTTAAACTATTTAAAATTAAACAATTAAATTATAATGATAGTCTATTTATTTTATGATTAGATTACTTTTAATATTATTCTTAAAATAAAATTGTAATACTATATAATTTTATTTGGACCACTTAATCAAAATATAAAATTATGGTGATTGGACGAGGGATGTAAAACTATCTAAAGACACATTTTATTAAAATATTTTTTATAGAATTTGTTTTCTTTAGAACAAGTTTATTTTTTTAATAATTTTTAGTTTCAATTTCATTGAACTATGATAAATTATTACAGTTCTTATTTTTATTATAATTTGTATATTAATAAATAAATGCATGAACTCTTGACCGAGAATTATCCACTCAGTGTGAGTAAACAAAGTGATTAACCAGTATGCAGCCATAGCATTAAGATGTCTCTCGATTGATGAGGGTGTTGAGCCACCTCTGTTATACTTTGACTAAAATGATTTTCTCATTATCTCTACATCATCCAGCCAATATTTGAGATGACTTTGTTACGAGCAAGTAACATCGAGATGCCTCTACCCATTTCCTGCAATATTCATCCAAAAACATTGAGATGTTTCCACACATTCTGCAGTCTCCCTACCCAAGGGGTCGAGTTGACTCAGCTTCAGCAGTAGGAATGCCTCTATTGTATTTTAAAGAGTGTCAAAATGTCGTTGCTTTTATGATTGTCAAGATGCATTTGCCCTAGAAAAAGGAAATTGAAAATCCCTTATTAATTCTATCAAGGATAAGATGCTTTCGCCCACGTACATGATTTTTCAGAGTGTGTGGAGTTGCCTCCTATTTGACCAAGAGCATGGAGATGTCTCTACCCCACCTTAACTAAAGAGACTATACCATAACCTCTATGACAACCGACCAAAGAGAGTCGAGATACCTCAATTCTAGTAATATGAGTTTCTCTATTACGGCTAACAAAACATTGAGATGCCTCCAATGCTTGTGCAAGTGTTTCTTCATAAAGCATGGAAGATTCTCAGCTATATATTACCGTTGATGAGCCTTCGTTCTTTCTACAGAGTTTCTCTAAGGATGTTGAGATGCCTCTCATTCTAGCTACTACAACTTAAAAAATCCTTAAAAGAGTGTTAGATGTCTTTACTCCAGTAATAAGAATTCTCCATTGCTTTATAAGTGTTTAGATGTCTTTGCCTTAGCGAGGATAATGCCCCATTGTTTGTACCAAGGAAAAAATGCCTTCACTCATCCTCTAAAACTTCTATAAGGGTATCGAGTTGTCTTCTCATTGACTAGAGTGTTGAAATGCCTCTGCTCCATCCTTACTAAAGTGAATTTTTGCTATCCCTCTGATGATCGACCAAAAACAGTTAAAATACCTTCTCTACGATTATAGAAATTTATCTATTTCCCTTGTCGAACATTGAGATGTTGTTGTTTCCTTCATTTCTTCTTTACAAATATCGAGATTCTCTGTAACATATTTAACATTGAGATACCTTTACCCCAACCCTCTCATTATCTCATCAATATTTTGTCGTATATTTTAGGCATCGAAACAATCCCACTCAAAATTCTATTTGATTACACAAAGGAGGCTAAACCAAAATATTGCCAACATAAACCTCTGAATTACAAAATGTGTTATCTGTAACTATAACACCCCAACCCGTACCCGATCCGGATACGAATCCGAGGTGTCACATTGACCTTTCAAAGCTCATACATTTAAAAAAAAACCATAGTAAATTTAAACTTTTATTAATACCAAAACTATATTTACATCGTTAATTTCAAAACATTACAAACTTGATCAGAGCTTACGTACCATACAACTCTATTTACATACCAACAAATAGATTACATAAACAAACATACTGTGCAAGAGGCTTCTGATCTTCAAGTTGTGATAGCTGCTCTGCTGCTCCTAAGACTGGTCTTCTTGCTTTTCTATACCTACGTGTAAACCACTTACACACTAAGTCATGGACTTAGTGAGACATAAACTCGTAATAATGCATCTCTTATAAATATGAACATGCAACATAATATTCAGAATTCTATATCATTTCATATGAATCATCATAAACAATATTAATACTATAACATATAAGGCAATACACACTTTTCATATGATTTATAGGCCCATGTATATACTGAGAACTTAAGGTATTCGAGTACATAGAGGTTGTGCTCATCTGTTGTCACCACAGCTCGTATAAGTCCCACTGACTGACATATGATATTTGTCCCGAATGACCTATGAATATGTCCCGAATGACCTATGAGTATGTCCCAAAGGACCTATGAAACCCTCGACTCTTGGCATGCCAACTATACCTAGAGCTATCATATTACATAACATGGGCATTAAGATTATACTTCATATAAACATGTACTCGTGTCATTTCCCTTGTAATCACATATATCTTTTCTTCTTTCGCATTCCACATATGCATATAATCATCCATATCATATTCTATAACACAAGTATTTGAATACATTCATATGATTCATATACCATGTAGTGAATCATATGTAAACATATATGACTTACACACATTTAATAAAGACTATGATGTATGCATGTTCATACTATTATACTATAAAATTTATCTCGGAAATAGACTTATCGCAAGTCTTATTTCCATTAAATTATACATATATTATGCACTCACCTTGGCCTTGCTTGCGTTGATTCAATCCTAATTCTTCAATTATTCTAAAAAAAATTATGTTCTATATATACACAATAATACATGGGTTCATATCAATATTCGAATTGATATACTCTAATCGTTCATTCCTTAAACTAAAAGAAAGGCTACTTTCATCTTTTATTTAAGGTATGTATCGGTACACTCTGTAGTGTATCGGTACATTCCTTAACGTATGTATCGATACACTACCTATGTATCGATACACAGTTTACATTCGATGTTTTCATTTTAAGGGGTGTATCGATACACTTCTTGTGTATCGATACACACTGAATAATTTCTGGAAGTTTACCCTTGATGTATCGGTACATGTTGAATGTGTACTGATACACACCAACCCAGAATTCACATTTTATGCATCATATTTCATCCCCCTTATATATTCCTAACTCACATCCATATACTTAAATCTATTACTACTTAATTATTACCTCTTAAACTTTAAAATCATATCATTCATATGTAATTCAAGAATTACACCCACTTTGCAACATGTTCTAAATCCAACTCTAACACTTCATATTCTTTAATTAGATTGATGACAAGTCAAATTTAGTCTCAAACTTCATTAGAGAACCCTCTTCCAAGATTTCACTTATTTCCTTCTTTTCTTTAATTCTCTCTTTTCTCTTCATCTTATTGTTTCAAGACAATTTAAGCTTTCCTTAAGCTTAATTATTACCTAATAATCAAAACCAGACTTGAATTTCAACTAATTATCAATTAACAATGAAACTTAACTTTACTTGGCTCTCACGTAGGAAAGGAAGGAAGAAAGAAGAAGAATAGAACTATGGAACTTATTTTTGGCTTCTTTCTTTTCCACCTGGGTTAATATAATACCATCCCAAATAATTATCTTGCTATCAAAAGACACTCTTGTCCTTCTATTCCTCATTCTTTATAAATTGTTCCTATACAACATTTTCATATAAGTCCTTGAACTATTTCATTATTCTACTTTAGTCATTAAATTCTGAAATTTAATAATTTGGTCACTAACCCGGTATTGAGGATGTTACAAATCTCCCCCTTAAGAAAATTCGTCCTCAAATTTTCATTACACAAAGAGATGGGGGTATTGATTCCTCATATCTTCCTCACGTTCCCACGTTGCTTCCTCCACTTTGTGATTCCTCCACAAAACTTTGACCAGCGGAATAGTCTTGTTTCTCAATTGTTTAACCTTATAATCTAATATTTGAACCGGTTCTTCTTCATAAGTCAAATCCATTTGAACCTCGATCTCTTCTGGTGTTACGATATGGGAGGGATCAGATCGATACTTTCGAAGCATTGAGACATGAAAGACATTGGGTATCTTTTCAATTTCAGGTGGCAAAGCTACTTGGTATGTCATTGGTCTCACTCTTTTTACAATCTCATATGACCCAATAAACGAGGACTCAACTTTCCTTTTCGACCAAACCTTAACACCTTCTTCCATGAAGACATTTTTAAAAATACTTTCTCTCCAACTTGGAATTCAATTTCCTTTCTCTTTAGATTTGCATACGATTTTTGTTTATCTACTGCAACTTTGAGATTACGCTGAATTACTTGGACATTTTCTTTCACTTCCTGAATCAACTCAGGACCCAGAACTTCTCTATCTTTGAGCTCATACTAGTTCAAAGGCGTACGACAGTTTCTTTCGTATAAAGCATCATAAGGAGCCATTTTAATGCTTGACTGATAACTATTATTGTGCGCAAATTCAGCAAGTGGAAAATATCTTTCCCATGATCCCTTGAATTTAATCATATAGGCTCTCAATATGTCATCTAGGATTTTGATCGTTCGCTCAGAATGTTCATCAGTCTGAGGATGAAATGTTGTGCTAAAATTCAATCGAGTCCCCAATACTCCCTGTAAAGACTTCTAAAACCTTGATGTGAATTTAGTATCTCGATCAAAAATAATGGAAACATGTAAACCATGTAAACGTATAATCTCCCTGATATACAG